CATGTATTGATCAAATCGCCACACTACGGATCATCATTGAACAAAGTTTGGAATGGCAGTCACCTCTCTATCTCAACTTCATCGACTTTGAAAAGGCCTTCGACAGCGTCGATCGAGAGGTGATTTGGCAACTACTTCGCTACTACGGGGTGCCGCCGACAATTATACATCTCATCCAACAGTTGTATGACAACGCTGCATGCCAAGTAATCCACAACGGGAAGCTCACGGAATCCTTCGAAGTGAAGACAGGAGTAAGACAGGGTTGCCTACTATCGCCAATGATTTTCCTGATTGCAGTAGATTGGATAATGCGACAGACAGCGGGCAATGAGGAAACAGGCATAAAATGGACTCACACAAAGAACTTGGAGGATCTGGACTTCGCCGATGATATATGTCTGATTTCCCACAAACTGGAAGATATGCAAGTGAAAAGTAACAAGTTGGCAGAAGAAGCATCAAAGATAGGACTTCAGGTGAACATAGAGAAAACAGAGGTGATGAAGATTCCTGGCCAACACCAACAGCCACAGCAACAACAACAGACAGCAATCAGCATAAATGGAAGGAACCTGAAAGAAACTACCTCCTTTACCTACTTGGGAAGCATTGTTTCAACTACAGGCGGAACTGACGAGGATATCAAAGCAAGGATCGGGAAAGCAAGGCAAGCTTTCATTACTCTCAAGTCTGTGTGGAGGTCAACAGCATTCAGCGTCAAAAATAAGATCCGGATTTTCAACTCCAATGTGAAGTCAGTACTACTATACGGATCAGAGACTTGGCGTGTCACAAAGAGCACCTCAAACAAGCTACAGACCTTCATTAACAGATGTCTTCGCTCAATACTCAAGATCAGATGGCCGGAAAGGATCAGCAACAAAGATCTCTGGGAGCGAACCAACCAGGAACCGATTGTGAAACAAATAGGCAGGAAGAAATGGAGATGGATTGGCCACACTCTGAGGAAACCAGCAAGTGACATCACTAGACAAGCCATTGCTCGAGTGGAACCCGAAAGGGAAGCGACGAGTTGGTCGTCCAAGGGTGACCTGGAGGAGATCATGTGAAGAAGAATTGAAAGCGTATGGGCAGACTTGGAGCCAGGTGAAAACTCTAGCAGAGAACCGAACGCAATGGAGACGCATGGCTGAAGCCCTATGTTCCTCTAGGAACTAAAGGAAATAATAATAAATAATAATAATTCGTCTCGTCGAGAGGAATTCAATGGTATATAAATCAGAGGGTAAAAGCTATTCCTAAGAAAAATACGAGGATTTTCCTGCCTAGCAGTCTCTGCCCCCCTGCTGCCCTATGGTTGGTAATGCCGCCTAGCTGCATACACAACGGCATACAACCTGAGGTCGCGGAGCTAAAAATGTCAAGAGAACAGCCAGCGGCATGAACTCTAGGCCTAGAAACAGGTTTCCCCTGTAGCCTTTGAAAAAATTCCCTATTCGGCTGAGGAGAAGCTATAAGGCGCGATACCGGTACCAATGAGTAGATCTCGTCGAGAGCTATCCATTGATATATGTATTCCCTAAGTCCTAGCCTCCCTAAGAAAATTTAGGCAGCATAGTCCCTGAGGGCACTAGCCCACCCTATTCGGCTGAGGAGAAGTTATAAAGTTCGAAACCAATGACAAAGGATAGGTCGCTGTGAGAGCCATCGATTGATATATAACTTCACCTAAGTCCTAGCCTCCCTGGAAAAATTTTGGCAGCATAACCCCGGAGGGCGCAAGCCCAGATATCAAAGATCCTGAGGAAGGCTGAGGAGAGGCTACAAGGGTCGAAACCAATGTCAAAGGATAGGTCTGGTCGAGAGCTATCGATTGATATATAGCTTTCCTATTCCAGAGCATCCCTAAACAAACTATGACCGTATGGTCCCTAAATGCCCCAGCATAGTAAACATGAAGCTAAAACCTAGCCTAAACATGAAAACTACTAATAAAAATAATATAAAAATGAAATAAACTTACCGAATAATTCCATTTGATGAGGATTGGAAGCCATCATAGGCCTCCAAGTGACAGGGGCTGGCCGTAGAAAACCAGCCATCCGTCCCACGCCATGCCACAATTTCAGCTGCGCCTTCGCGCGCATCGTCAATTAAAACAAAATGCCTATCTACGCCTAATAAACAAAAGCTTCATTCTCATTGGCTAAAAATACCCTGTATATTACGATACAAAGGCAAAATGGGGAAAACCTGCAAAACTTTAAAAATCCATATCCCGCAACCGTAAGTCATACAGGGACGAGACAGGTACCAATCGATTCGTCTAGTCGAGAGGAATCCAATGGTATATAAATCAGAGGGTAAAAGCTATTCCTAAGAAAAATACGAGGATTTTCCTGCCTAGCAGTCTCTGCCCCCCTGCTGCCCTATGGTTGGTAATGCCGCCTAGCTGCATACACAACGGCATACAACCTGAGGTCGCGGAGCTAAAAATGTCAAGAGAACAGCCAGCAGCATGAACTCTAGGCCTAGAAACAGGTTTCCCCTGTAGCCTTTGAAAAAATTCCCTATTCGGCTGAGGAGAAGCTATAAGGCGCGATACCGGTACCAATGAGTAGATCTCGTCGAGAGCTATCCATTGATATATGTATTCCCTAAGTCCTAGCCTCCCTAAGAAAATTTAGGCAGCATAGTCCCTAGGGGCACTAGCCCACCCTATTCGGCTGAGGAGAAGTTATAAAGTTCGAAACCAATGACAAAGGATAGGTCGCTGTGAGAGCCATCGATTGATATATAACTTCACCTAAGTCCTAGCCTCCCTGGAAAAATTTTGGCAGCATAACCCCGGAGGGCGCAAGCCCAGATATCAAAGATCCTGAGGAAGGCTGAGGAGAGGCTACAAGGGTCGAAACCAATGTCAAAGGATAGGTCTGGTCGAGAGCTATCGATTGATATATAGCTTTCCTATTCCAGAGCATCCCTAAACAAACTATGACCGTATGGTCCCTAAATGCCCCAGCATAGTAAACATGAAGCTAAAACCTAGCCTAAACATGAAAACTACTAATAAAAATAATATAAAAATGAAATAAACTTACCGAATAATTCCATTTGATGAGGATTGGAAGCCATCATAGGCCTCCAAGTGACAGGGGCTGGCCGTAGAAAACCAGCCATCCGTCCCACGCCATGCCACAATTTCAGCTGCGCCTTCGCGCGCATCGTCCCTAGGAAATAATAATAATAATAAATACTAATGACTTATAAAACAATCTTTAATAATTCTGTAATTTATCCACTTCAACTCTACCCCTTATAAGATTTTAATTATCGTTATTCTTATCACATATATATATATATATATATTGACTGAGCAATTATTTAGTACCACTTAATAACCTTTTCTGTAATATAAATATGACTGTACAGCTTGAAAATGAAGTCGTTGAAAAGAAATTTCTTCGCTGAACAAAAGCAAACTGTGTTTTTACTTATGAATAAATGGGTATTTTTCGTGATTTAATATAATTACTGTTGTACAGCTCATAAAAATGAATCGTCGAGAAGATAATTTTGTTGTCTTTTTGTGCCTTTTTCTTATGACTCAATATGGGATTATTATTATTATTGTTATTATTATTATTATTGATTATGATAATAGTGTAACAACAGAAGACAAGGCCCAGGCAACAGAACGTTTATTACGGAAAATCAACACATATTTATACATTTAGATAAAGCAATAAGAAGACGTAATTTGTCTGAATCGTGTAATGTATTTGCGCAACACATTTCGAACAATCTGATCACACACGGACTTGTTATAGGAATATATATGAAATTAATAAAGAGGTAAGAGGTGAGAAAAATAGACTTAGATCAAGTTTAAAGGACATATTCAAGGTCAAAGTGACAATGAAGACCACTAAACCAAATAACAGAGGTAATAGTACATCTGCTATGGTGTCAAAACAAAATTTACCAAGGAAGGTTTAATGTGATGACAAATTGTTTTTGAACGCATAAAGGTGGCTTAAACTTTCTAATTGCTAGGGCTTCCACAAACTTTAGGATACGCCCCAAACACGTTTTATAGATAGGTTTAAAAGATCTGTTAACGTCAATTTTATGTCCTGTTTCTATAATATGTTTTGCAATAGAGGAGCTAGGTCTCCTGTTCTCACCGTTAATGGGTTCTGAAGATTCCATTTGTTTCTGGAGCCATTTAGGAATATGCTCTGAAGCCCTTACTTGCAGAGATCGATGAGTCCTCCCTATGTATGTGTGTCCACACGTACATTCAAATCGGTAAATACAGTGGGATGTGACGTCATTTTTCTCATGTTCGAAGGGCTTAGATGAATATATTGGCCTAACATTCTCTATTATTATGATATTGGCTGCATAAAAAGTCTTTTTGACAGCAGCGTTCAGTCTTTGTCTAGTCATCAAGCTGCTTTGATGCCCCATATAGGGTAGCTTGATGTATACGTCTTTCTTAGGGGCGAGTTGGAGAGTGGGTCTTGGTGTTCTGACTACTTTATATCTCCTGATGAACTTGTCTGGATAATTGTTATCAACCAGAGTTTGTGTCAATTTTCCTTCTTCCGCATCAAGTGTGTCTTCAGTGGATATTCGTTAGATTCTACTGAAGAGGCACCTTACTAAGGCTCTTTTGTACCGAACAGGGCAAAAACGTCTTCTTATTGCTTTATCTAAATTCATAAAGGGAACTAATTGTTTTAAATTTTACATATTTATACATTTTGATGTACATTATTGTAGATTAATTTTAGTAGAAAATACAGTCTGTTGATTGGTTGTTTCTCACACAAAGTTAACCTTGCATCTCTTGTGGTTGTGTCAGTTCATCTATGTGTTAACTGTATCCGCCTGTCCATCTTGACCTTGTTTTCACATGACTAACATTGACCTCAACTACTGTCACAACCAATTTGGCTAGCAACCATCTCTCACCACAATAGTAGTTTATATTTGTCTCTTTACCCTTCTTCCCCACCCACTGTATCTAGATATAATAAAACTGAAGGCATAGAAAAGGATTTCAACGCGTTGAACACATCAAACTTTACCCATTTGATCTCAGAAATATCATCCACTAATGACGACGAAGAAGAAGAAGTAAATCAGAAGCTGCTGTCGTCTTCTTTTAAGCGGCTCTACCAAGTGAATTCTTTCAATGGGATACAATTTCATGTCAATTGGAAGCTATACAGCCTGTTTGAATTCAAAAGTGTTCCACGACTGTTTATCTATGAAAGAATAAATTTCACCAAAACTTAAATTTTTCCATCTGGTGAGATCATATTGTGTAACCTTTTTTATGGGGTGTAATATTTTGTTAAATATATAAATTTTTTTTACAGGATTAATAAATTTTGTTATTGTTGTTATTCCTTTACATTCCCAGTGGAACGTAGGGCGCCGGCTTTAAGCCTCTTGAGCTATGTATGAAGGTTTGGGTAGCAGGGGTGTTTATTTTTTTACGGGATGGGGTGGGGTTGGTTGCTAGCTTCAATCTTCCCTCCTCACCAGTCCTGTTACCGGCTTAGTGAGGTAAGGGAGTACGTCTGTGCACGGGGATCGAACCCCGAGCCACGTGTGGTGTGGTTGGTGAACATTCTACCGGTGTGTGTCACTAACGCACAGGATTAATAATAGCGCAGCTGTAAAGTCAAAAGTGACGAGTTAGGATACATCCGAAATACGCTGATCCCAATGGGTTATCCTAGTAGATTTGTAAGGAGACACATGAACACCAGGGAAAATAAAGAGAAATTGACAACAGTTAAAAAGAAACAACTGTTCATGAAATTGTAATTCAATGGGGACGTGGCTAGTGAAGTCCTTCATCTTAGATTATCGAGAGCAATAAAACAGACTTATACTGCCACCACCCTTTTCTTGTCATTTTCCAGCTACCGACCAATTTTGATTGCTCAGGGGAAAGATAAACTACCTAGCTGTGCCATTTCTATGTGTATCTATAAATTTAGTCGTTCTTGTGGAGAGAACTATATAGGGCGAACAACTAGGCAGACAGCTTAACAAACGCATTAATAAGCATCTTCCTTCTTGGTTCGGTAAAGGTCAAATAAAATCTATAAGAAGTTCTAATTTGGCTCATTTGATTGATAGCGGTCACCAAGTAGACAGAAGAAGTGCCTTCAAAGTTATCTATCGTATTCCATCGAGCCTTTCGAACGGAATTCGAACCTGCATTTTACACATAGTGGAAGCTTTGGGAATTAATTCGAGAGAACAATCCTAGTCTTTGTCTCTCCCTTGCTTGCCTAGGTAAATTCCAATCAAAACCCTCCCACTAAACATATCTAGCTTCTTCGTCTCGACAGGAAACATCATTATGATGTAAGACAGCAGGAGCAGCATCCAAAGTACCTCTGTCCTGTTTTCACGCAAATTGTTTGAGGTCGTTAAAATTTTACAGGGAGGGTTCAAGGTTGAGTAAAAGTAGTTTCTCCACTAATTTCAAAAAAGGAGATGTAATTGCAATAGGTACTGGGATAATCTAAATGTCTTTTATGAGACAGGTATAACATTACTGGAAAAAGAAACATTGAAAATGTTTGCGAAGAGGACAACATAAAATAGCAGCAAATCTTTTGCGAGGACAACTGCAGGTACGCCATGAAGACCCAAGGCTTTAGGAAGGTTTTAGAGAATTGAGAGACTTGAGAACATTAAAAGTGTTAAAACTATGAAAGTCACTAACTTTGGTGCGGACTATGTATCGGGTAGTGTTTTTTTTATTTGCTTAAAGCTCTATAATCACCTCACGGTTGCATTTCACCAGACAACTTTCTCGGAACTTTGTAAAGTGGTGAAAGCCACGAGCTATAAGGTGACCGAATAATGCCATGCCCTAGGATTTTATCGGGCTCTGCCCTTGCAGTACCAAGTTGGTGTGTGTGGATCGAGATGTTGAGGGTGTGCCGAAAAAACTGGTGGTCCAGAAGTTTTAATTTAGTGAAGCACGTGATTTCTCACAGTTTCTCGAAAGAGATTCGAAGAAGACCAGGGAACTGGTTCACTGCGTGTGTGTGAATATTAGATTCAAAGATGATGGGTGGTTGACTTTACTGGCAATGTACGCTTTTTTGAATGAGTCTATCAAATTGTGACTCATAGGATCTACCAGGAATTCGTAGTGATCTTGGTCAATACGTAAGATTGGTGACGGGATATCCCCAATAATGAATGACCAACGGTAGGCGTTTTGGAGATGACAGTAATCTGCTTAAAATGGTGGTCATCTTATGATTCATCATCATCGGATGACTCTAAAATTTTGTCATTTTTCCTTAACTCGAGCCTGGCCAAATCGACAACCAGTCAGAAGGCTTATTTTTCGCGGACCTAACCGAATCACCTACCAATCAGAACAGTCTATTTTCACTGCCCTAGGCCGATTTTAATGTGGTTAAAGATAATATAAATACCTAATACTATTATATGCTAACAGTCACAGACCAGTCTTTGTCTTTGACGGCACTACTGAATTCGATGCATCCATAACAGGAGATCGAATTCCGAAGTCATGTTTATACGTCCCCACGTATCAATATTCGACATATTAGCAGCCTGAAGTGTTACTGTTGTCTTAGGTTGCTGGTGCTCGTGCATAGATGGAGGAGAAAGAACACTAACTTGTGCTCCTATATCAACCAAGAATTCAATACCAGTATTTCGATTTGTTACATAAAACAAACAACTACTGGGTTATTGATTGACGACGACAGAAGTCGCCACAGAGCGCCGGCACATGCGTTTCCCCACATACCTCTTATTTTTGTCATTAAATTACAAGGAAGATGGCGACATGTTGCGTTGCTTCCATAAGTACAACAATACCAAAGAATATTACCACAATCTCTTGACATCTTCAGTGTTCTGGTGCGACGTCAATGAGAAGAACTTCTAGAATACGTCGATCGTCTGTGTACGGTTAGTGACGCCAACTGACACAATGAGGTTTCAACCTTTTGTTCTAAATTTGGTATCCGATCTTAAGTATTCGGCACTTGTTTAGTGAGACATTGACCTCTCATACATGCGGTTGGCTATTTCGGAGAGCTTATCGATACTGATGTCATTATCTCTAAAAGTGAAAACTTGTGGAATGTTCCCAGGTAGCTTATAACTTGTTTCAATTTCTCATAAGGGAATTCCGTGTTAGGGTGGACGATATATTGGCGAATGTGTTTCACGATTTCATCATGTAGGATAGTACTCAAATACGAGAGATTTAGCATTCTGTGAAGTTAGCTTATTGCCAGTGAAGTGATGTTCCAGGCGAGTAAACAAAAGATGTCAATCTCTAGGTTTAAAAACAGTTATGTTATGAGTAATACAAATAACGGATCCCAGCTCTCATATCTATCAGATCTATTACAAAACATTTATAGTATTCATGAGAAATTGGTTTAAGAAACAAAATAACAAAATGTGTTATGATTGTCATTATTCCCTTGGGGTCCGAGTGGAACATCACAGGGCTTCAACAACACATTTCCACCTTTTTTTTACTATTTGGTACTGTCATCTTCAGTTGGGTTCAGGATTGCCATAATATCTCATCTACTCCTAGCCACACGACCTTCACCATGTCACTCTCGCACTGACTACCCACTCATCACTTCCCATTTGGATTCCACACAGGTAATGGCCTGTAATGTTCGCGATGTCATTCAACGGCCTTCATCTTCATTTTCATCGACATATTTGTTGAACTATCGGTTCTTGTTTGGTTTGTTGCCAGCTAGAGTTTCTTGTTGCTAATTCTTTCTGGTCGGCTGGCTGGCTGGCCATTTGATCTTCAGTATGGAGCCAGCCAGCGAAGGTGGCAGCTGTTGATAAAAGTCTTGATCGGCTTGTTGGAAATCCTTTTCATGAAGCGAGCGCAGTGCAGTTTTCTGACCCGTATAAAAGAACTGACTGACTGACTTCGCATTGGTGTTGAAGACAAAGTGTAAACAGGATGAGAAACTCGAAAGAGGAAGATAACTGTGATAATGCCAAACATAAACAAATGCAGCTTGCCCCAAAGGAAAGTATATCATAATAAACGTAAATTCTGCAATATAATAATAATATTATTATTATTCCCTTGGGTTCCTAGTGGAACATAGGGCTTCAACTGCACGTCTCCACTTGTTTCTGTCTTCTGCTGTACTTCTCACCTGCATACATGTTAGTCCATACTGTTTCAACTCCTCTTCACACGATCTCCTCCATGTCACCCTTGCACCGACGTCCCACTACTCGCCGCTTCCCTTTCGGGTTCCACTCGAGCACTGGCCTGACGCTCGATGTCATCCAGCGGCCTCCTCAGCCAGTGAGTGTCCAATCCATCTCCACTTTCTCCTGCATATTTGTTGGGCGATTGGTTCTTGTTTTATTTGTTCCCATAGTTTCTTGTTGTTGATTGTTTCCGGCCATCTTATCTTGAGTATAGAGCGAAGACAGTTAGTTGTTGATAAAGGTCTGCAACAGGCTGTTGGAAATATTCTTGGTGACCCGCGAAGTTTCTGATCCGCATAGAAGAAGTGACTGACTTGACGTTTGTATTGAAAATCCGAATTTTTTTTTTGATTACAGCTTGATTCCACACCGTATTTTCAGTACAGGTATGGAATTTTCAGCATGGATATCGGTAGCCCAAATTTCAGGCCGACCATAGATATCGGGTGTGCGCCGGCAGGGGATCGAACCCCGGACCATGTGCATGGTCGGCGAGAGTCCTAACCACTGTGCCCCCGATGCTGAGGAGTGACGAAGATTTCCAGATTGGTTTCAAGTTGATGAATGTGTTTCTTGCCTTCCCGATTCTCGATTTGACATCCTCGTCTGTTCCTCGTGTAACTGAGACAATGCTCCCTAGATAAGTGAATGAAGTAACCTCTTTCAAATCCCTCCCGTTGATGATGATTGGTGCTGGATGTTGCTGTTTTTGTTGTTGTTGTTGTTGGTTGGTTGGTTATTTTCTTAACCTCCGTCTTGTCTATGTTCACCTGGAGTCCTGTCTTTGCTGCAATATAATAATAATAATAATAATAATAACAATAATAATAATAATAGTAATAATCGATTGATTCCAAACAATAATAATAGTAATAATACAGAATGGAATTGTCAGCGTTTCTATACATATTGCAACAATTTAGCTCCTTTTACATAAATACATACATACATAAAATTTGAAAAAAAATAATGAAACCACGAGAAACTGAAAGTTTGTGGGACATAATCAGTGGTAAAAAATAAGGATCAACACGTTTAAAAACAAAACTAATCCTTACAAACCAAACTATAGAAAATTAATCTGATGCTCGCTAATGACTTGC